ATTTGTTTATTGCCATTGTTTAAGTGTAATTGGGACCTCCATATTTAAAGGTATGTGTGTCTAAGCTTACGGCGTGTTAAATCAGGTTTTCTCAGAAAGAAACATTTCTCCATCACAATTACAAAATTACAATTTTGCATAAAAAAGGAGGTCAAAGTTGGAGCAAACATTTTGGTACATTAGACGGTCTAAGCTGCCTAAATTTAAATTCAAAGATACTTTATTAATCCCAGAGGGAAATTAGAGACAACAAGGTAAATATGGTTTTAAATTCTAGGGACTCCTTTTAATGAGATGCTTTTTTATTTGATGGATATATGATTGCTTTTCCTGGTGCTGACCACATGGGTGCCCTAAGTGGAATTTCAATTTGTCGTCCATCCCGTTTAGATGATCGTCGGATTGGCCGCTGTAAGACCGGTGGGTGGGTTAGGGCGGGGCGGATACGCTCCAGGGCGTGTGCCTGATTACAAGTAAGAAACTAAATGAACTTTGATTTTCAGTCATCAATAAAGGTCAAGAACTCTATCTACTTACCAAGATTTCACAGTTCTGTTTACAGAGCTGATGTTCTAGATAACTTCATACAATTTAATAACAAATAAGCTGCAGCAAAAGCAAACCAGATGGCTTTTTCAACTAATATTCCCACATGTCATGCTTTAATGACAAGTTTAGGTATAAATGTATGTATCATTTACTTGATGCCAGAAAAAAAACTACAATGGCTGTAATTACACTTAGCGACACAAGGTATACTTCAAGGCTCTGGGACCACTGGGAGATTTGACTTAATGAGTTTTAGTAAAGATGTTTTTTTGTTTTTCTTTTAAACGACAAAACAAAAACAAAAAAAATAATTTAATGACATGTATACATACAGTATATTGTTTTATCTCTTGTTTTTCTTTACTGTATGCAACATTGTTTTTATATGAGCCAGTGTGCCTTAAAGAAAGCAAATTAATGAAAATGTAAATTCATTTAAGAAAAAAACCCACTAAAGATATTTCGTTGTAAATGGTTTTGATTGTTTATTGAAATCTGGTTTTAAATGCATATAATTTGAGGTCCTGCCTCAGGCGGAGGAGGTATTACGGGGTCTTATTCACGAGATGAGGGAAAGATGGAGCGTGAGATCGACAGGCGGATTGGAGTTGCATCTGCATTGATGCGGGCGTTGTACTGATCTGTCGTGGAGGAGAGTGTGCTGAGCTGGATGGTGAAGCTCTTGATTTACTGGTCGATCTGCGTTCCAACCCTCACCTATGGTCACGAGCTTTGGGTAGTGACTGAAACACTGAGATTGCAGATACAAGTGGCCAAAATGAGTTTTCTCTGCAGGGTGACTGGGCGCTCTCCTAGAGATAGGGTGAGAAGCTCGATCATCTGGGAGGGGCACAGAGTAGATCTGCCGCGAAGACCCAGGACACGCTGGAGAGCCTATATCTCTTAGCTGGCCAGGAAACACCTTGGTATTCCACCAGAGGAGCTGGCCGAAGTGGCTGGGGAGAGAGAAGTCTGGGCCTCCCTGCTTAGGCTACTGTCCCCATGACCCGGCCTCATAAGGGACAAAAATGGATGGATGGAATTGTCTTAAAATTTAGACATTTGATTCATTAGTTAAACTGCTACAACTCAGTAGAATAAAAAAAAACATATATTCTATGATAAAATCTCATTAACAGCCTGAACCTTCATGTCATGCAGAAGCAGTTTCCATGACCCCCGACTGTGCCTGCAGACTCTCAGAGCACCTATATTTTTATTTACTTACTGAATATTTTATGTTGGATGACATCTAAGCCTTTTCAGTGTGAAATTTCCATGTTACTCATGCTCCTGTGTGCTTTTTCTCTAGGTGCTCTAGATTCTTTCCTTTAGTCCAAAGACACGAACGTTACGTTAACTCAAAGAAACACAGGTATAGGTGTAGATGATGAAGCAGGTATACACGAGTGGATGAATTGCTATAGTTCTCTCTTTATCCTGGCTTTGATCATACTGATCCCCCTGGGCGTCGTACATAAACCAACCGCAAGTTCTGCAAAACAGCAAAAGAACAAAACCCAACTCTCTAAATTGCAAGTTAACCTTGGGAATATTTAGATGTTGTTACCCATCTACTAAGTGTGGGATGCAGTTTGCCGTTGGCAGGAAATCTGGCAGACATAGCAGACAAATTCAAATCTAATAAGACCTCTGGAATAATGCAAAGCCTACACATCTTCCTTGACACATAACCTACATTTAATGGTAAACAGCAAGTCAAGCCAAGGGTTGTGCAACAGCTCTGTGATTGTTGAGCTGTAGCTATGTAGGCTGGGTTTCTGGTGAATAATAAGGAAGAGTAGTGAGTCACAGTCACTTGTGTGAAGTGAAAACGACCAAGCCCACGCAAAGCTCCGGTTGTAGTGTATGCAGCCAGCTTCCCAATTTCTATTCCTCTCTAAGGAAGCTTTCTGAAATTCACCCAGCTGCTCTATTTATAACTGGCAATGCGTTTTCATCTCCAGGTTGAGATAACCATTATTTATACTGCCGAACCTTGGAGCGTCTTAACTTGTGCAATGAACACACTACCAATAACTTACTGATTAATGTTCTGGACATGTCGGTTGTCTTTATTGTTCGATCCTATGAAGGATCAATCAATCACAAATGAGCAAATTCCCTCCTTTTCCAAATTCCCACCACATCTCTTTTGAAAACATCCAATAAAAAGCAAAATGAAAGAAATGACAAATTAAATATATATAAAAAATCTTAATATTAGTAAAAACCAACGAACAGCACACTTGTGTTTGATGCAATGAATTCCATTTATCCAAAGAAATCTCAGCTTTGTATTTTTGATCATTTATTACAAAGTATTGAAACTGGTCTTTATGTCAATGTTTGCTTTTTTGGCAGAGCACACGGAGCATTAAGAGCCATGATTAAAGGCACTTTTATTTTCTGCTATGGTGATGCAATGTAATGGGTTTTCTTAGAATCGGCTTGTTTGGGGACTTGAAACGAGTTAATGGCTGAAAGAGAGAAAGAAAAAAAATACAAGCAAGTGAATAAATGAAAAGAAGAAAGAAATTGGTTCTTTCAAAGCCAGTTTATATCCACAATTACAGGACGTAAAGATAAACATGGCAGGATATAACCAGAAAAATATTCTGTTGTCTAAAAATACAACGTTATGTGTGTCGGATTTGTTTTGCAAGAGAAAAATAAATAAATAAACCCGAACAAAGCACCAGGCAAGAAAATTTTAGTGAGGTTTAAAGGTGTGGTTCACTTGTTTAATACATGTGCTGTGTGGCCTCTAGTAGGAATGGATGGCTTGTGAGATGTACTATGGGTACAAAAGGCTCTGGGTCATCTGTTTCCAGATCTGGAAAATTGCCATATCAGAGTCAAGCTTCAGACGACAGGATTTGGAGGCTTATTTCCTGATATGTGGACATCTCACCTCTGATTGGGCAACAGCAATGTGACTCTACCACTGACTGCACTTATTTTGCAACATTGACATTTCATCTCCACAAACAGCACAAAGCTGAAGGAGTTCTGCTGTGTGGTGGAGTTGCTAAAGCTAACCGTTAGCTTCTAGTATTCGAGATGTTCTCGGCCGTTTCCTGAATGCTAAAACAACAACACCAATCCCCGTCACAAATCAAGATGGGTAGGTCCATCAACATTTAGTGATGTCACGCTGTCAGGTTTTCAGATCCTAGAATTTCACAGCTCTACTTTTACGTTCAGCCTGCTTGACAAACTCAGGCCCTGTCCACACGTAGCCGGGGATCTGCCAAAACGTAGATATTGTTCTACAGTTTGCCCTGTCATTCACACGAAAACGGAGTTTTTTCACACAAAAACAGATCTTTTTTAAAAACTCCGGCCAAAGTGAAGATCTGCGTTTTCTCCGTTTTGGGTGTCTGCGTGTGGACAGACAAAACCGGAGTTTTAAGGTCCGCAATGTCACTTTCCGCTACAAAAAAATGCTAACATCACGTGTGCGACCTGTGTTTACACTAGCCGACAGCATGGAAGCCCTCAGAGCTGCGCTCGCTTTATCAATTGTCAAAGTGCTGTTTGCTTGTTTGTTTTTGCAAGCGGAATTACTGCTCCTTGCGGAAGACCACAGACGAAGGATGAGGTTAAGAACGGGGGAAGTCCTGCCGCCTACAGGTCTGGCATGTCCTTAACAACGTATTTATCCGGGTACGTGTGGACAGAGTTTTTTTTTTAAAACGAGGTGGTGTGGATGCAAGTTTTTGGAGGGGCGGATATTCGTTTTTAAAAAACCAGGCTACGTGTGGACTAGGCCTCAGAGTGACCAGTATAATCAGAAACAACCATTAAAGATGTTTTGTCAGTGAACCACATATTTAATACTGTGTTCTTTACTATGAAGATCACTAATTTAAATTTTCTACAAAATAAATGAAATAACCCCCCAAAACAGTATTTGATGTTACAGAAATATTCATTCAGCCTTTTAGCCAATCTGTTAACTCCATCCAACATGATTTAATTTGACATCTAAAAGCTTTGTACCAATTTCAATTCAAATCTAAAGCTGTACTCATTTCAAACGGACAACGGTTTCATGTAAAAGCTGATGTTCTACTCAGAAACATTCGTACAAATTGCTATTTTTAAAACCATAAACTTGCATTATTTCACTGAATCCAAACATTAATGACCATTCAAAGTGAAGATGACCTAGTCATAAAACATAATACAGCCATAATGGAACATTTTATTAATCCAGACTTTTAATGTTTTTTTTTGTTGTTTTAAAGTTTTAAACAGCATTTTGTCAACACTTGGTGATGTTGCTCATCTTCTCTACATGCCAACAAACCTAAATGCATAACTTTCAATGTAGCACTGTTAATAACATAATGTTATCCATCTTTAAGCTTCGCAAGTAAAATTGTGCAGTTCTGCCGGGCTAACATGAAAACACGGTGAGTAAGAAAGAGGCTGTGTTCACTCACCAGCTGGGCATCTGCAAGAGGCCGTTCCATTGGAGCGTGTCAGGCAGGTGGAGTTGTGCAGGCAGGGATTGTGGAGGGGCTCACACGGGTCATAGGGATGGTTGCAGAAGGGCCCAGTGAAGAAGGGAGGGCAGGTGCAAGAAAACTCCCCAGGTATGTTTGACTCTTTGCACTGTGCTCCATTTAGACAGGGTCCAGAATCACACTCATTCACATCCTCTGCACAGTTCCCACCTGTCCAGCCCGGTGAGCAGAAGCACCTTGGAGGCAGAGTTAGCTTGGTTTGAATTAAAGCAAATAAAATTAAATGGTATTTGATAGCCTTTTAAAGGCCTAATGTTGTTGCCCTATCTGGAGCAACGGTGTTAAAAATGAATAAAGCTGCAGCATTAGGTGGTGCTGCAGATATGAACCACGAGGCACATTTTCCTGCATCCAGCTATTATGTTGTAGCACACACACTGACACCCCTGCTCCGTATCTTTGTGTAAGACATTGTGGGGAAATTTACAGGTTAATTGCACTACTCGTCAGAGCAGCTTTTAATTCTGGATGACTGAATGTTGGACACAGGAGGTGAGAGCACTGAGTGTGAATTAAATGGAAAAGCTTCCAAGCCAGACAAAGATAGAGAGATGGGGACAGAAAAAAAAAGAGAGAACCGAAGTGCATGCGTGTGAATCTAAAGTACCTGATCTTAAGGCAGGTGGATATTTCACTTGGTGGCAGCGAGAACTGGAGCACTAGAAACCATCCTGTTTCCATCCCCCAACTTTTCCACCTGAAGCGCTTTTATGTCTCCCCAGTGAGAGCGGGGCATGAGCCGAAGCAGTTACAGCAGCTTTCTTCTCCACTGAGCCCCAGATCCCCTGAAACCGTCTCATGCTGCGAGCCATTGATTGACTCATTTGTTTTACCTGCCATCTGCAATTCATTATCTCTGCTGTCAGCGGAAGGACATATTGCTGCCTCTAAAAAGCTTATTTTCCTGCATTTATTAAATGGCTGATGCACCTCATCGGGACGGTGCCCTCGAGCCAAATCACACACCTACTTGTAGCTATTGAGAAGGTCTGTGCAGGTGGCGTTGTTTTTGCAGGGCTGTGATAAACATTCATCAGTTTCTTGTTGGCAGTACTTCCCCTCCCAGCCTGGATGACACACACACTCATAACTCTGCAACACAAAACAGGAAACACAATTAGATGAGCACAAGGCAATACTGGCATTACATTTGCAATTGATGAATAGCTTATTCAGGTGTAGTGGAGTATTTTTGATACCGTTACACATTGCTAAAGTGGTTACATAGCGCATATATTCCTTACTATATTCCTGACTGGAGTCAGGCTAGCACCTGACTCCAGTCAGTCTATTACATAGCTGTTAGCTAATACGTGGGCCCTGTCATTAGAGTGGGAGGAGCTTATATTAAGAGCCTAAGTCACACCCATATCCTTCCAGGTCTATCACCTACTGCCCAAAAAAAGAAAAAAAGAAAAAGAAAAAAGAATGGGAGTCTATGGAAAAATAATTTATTTTCTAATCCCATTTGATATGTGCCATGGATTTCACATATAATGTCCATGAATTTTAAAGACACATTTTGATGCCAAGAACGTGCTTATTTTCAACCAGCAACAAAAGTTATAGATTTTCTGTGAAAAGACGTAGCGGACTACAAATGCTCGTCTCACCACATTGATGTCATCAGACCAGACAAGGAGAATAGGAGAAGAAACATGGCTGTGAGTTTAGCAAGCTTCACATTATTCTTCCAGGCAGTAGCGGTTTTAGGCACGGGCAGACAGGGCAGTTGCCCGGGGCGGCATTTTTTCATGACACAAAAGGGGCGCACAAGCTCTGAGTAAAAAAAAAAAAAAAAAGGAAATCTGAGCCGCACCGAGGTTTTCTATTATCTGTCATATGACAGTGTCTGGATTGGAAACAGCAAGTTGGCGCCCCCTGCAGCTGCAGGCGCTCCTGCTGACTGAGAACGTTCACGTGCACCGTGTGTCTATGAAGAACAGGAAGGGGAGGGGTGCGGCGGGGGAATTCACCTCTGCGTCTTTCCCAAATGAAATGAGCGTGCAGGGGCTGAATCAACTGTATTAACATGGCTAAAGTCAATCACATCTTAACGTTCTTCCATATTTCATTCATAATATCATAAACACAGGCCTATCATTCTTTCAGGTTTGTCTGAATTGTGTGAAATGGGCCAATAAAAAAAGGAAAAACAAAACGATGTTGTGGTCACCCCCCCCAACAAGGTCAAATTGTTTAGTCCTGACTAAAGGAAACTTACTGAGTCAGGAGCCAAACAGAAGAGATGAACATAAAAAGGCTAAAACCACCAGGTGCCCCATTCAGGGGGAAAAAAAGAAAAAAGAGGAGAAAGATAAAGGTATGTAGCTCTCATGATGCATGTTTTCAATTTTTTGAACCAGTTAACTGGGATTTTAACGGTTAAATGCGGTCAACTAGTTGCTAACAGAGCTAATAGGGCTGAAATATTGAAACGAATATTCAAATGGTTCGAAAAAAGTCCTTGAATCGTTTTTTACTGATTCAAACTAGGATTTGTTAAATGCTCGCTGCAGCCTGTGGCCTGCCTGAACAACAACACACACATGTTGATCATGTTCACATAATAATAAATAAAACAACTCCACAAGCAGAAGAAAACTCCCCAGTCACCACTAACTATCCTGTTTGTTTATTGCAGATGGCTGCACTGATTATTTTTTACATGATTTGTTCTGTAAAAGTTGGCATTTTTGGTAGTCTACAGTTTTTTTTATGTCAGTTTAAATTACAATTTCAGAGGCAATTCTAAAATATTTTGGATCATGAGATCTATTGGAGATCTACCCCGACTTTTGGACTGCTCTGCCAGTCACTGTGGCTCAAGCTGAGAGGAGCTTTTCAAAACTTGATCAAGTCATACCTGAGGTCAACTATGTTTCAGGGGCGGCTCACTAACCTGGCTCTGATTAGTATCAATCACTCAGTAGGGGAGCAGATTTCATATGATGACATTATTGATGACGTTGCATCAAGGTTAGGTTTTAATTTTAGTTTGTGTTTTCTATTCTAAGTGCAATGCTGTAGTGATTATCTTTAGTTTGTTATGTGTGAAATATTTTTGCTATTTAGAATATTTATTATCTATTATGTTCATATATTCTTAATATTTAGTTATTGTTTGTTTTTGTATATTTGATTCTATACATTTTGATACAGTATATAATGTATAGTGCTTTACATTCTGACAACTTCATAGTAATTTATGTAAATATGTGCAACTTAGAAAAATGAATGTTCAATAGTTGTTCTAATAAAACATGCCTGTTTGTAGAAAACATGCGTGTGTGCGTGCAGGTGGTGTGGTGGTGGGGGCGTTTGGGGGGGGGCGCTCAAAGGGGGCCTCGCCCGGGGAGTAATTCGATGTAGAACCGCCACTGCTTCCAGGATGGAAGAAGGAGCATTACACGTGGAGAACCCTACTATAAATCTAGCTATGTGGCAAGTAGCAGCTACGCTGGCAGAGGAGAGATTCTGCTGTGACAGCACACAGCCGTGTCTGATTTGTAGTCATTTCAATTATGAATTTTGAAAGCAAAAAAAAAAAAAAAAAACCTCAAATTACCTGACAGAAATAGTCGAAACACATAATTATTTATCATTTAAATTGAAGTACAACATATGTTTGATTCAGGGCGGAAGGCAAAGCGGACCAGAAAATAACTTTTATAGCCTACTTCCATTTCAATCCAATTTTATTTCTATAGCACATTTAAAAACAGCAACATTCATTTTTTTCTCACTCAATGGACCCATGAGCCAACTGGAACCTCAAGGAACCTCACCTTGATGCCTTGGTCCTGCCCCAGTTGCCTAGGAGACACGTCATCAGGGACCACCAAGGTGTGTTCCATTGTTCATGTGCTACGAAGGTGTCTGCCTTCCGTTTGTTAGCCGTTCAGCTAACTGATCAAGAATGTGGGAGGTGTCAAAGATTTCCCAGAATACAGTGTGGTGTGGTGTTTTCAAAAAGATAATGGATCAGGAGCTGGCAGCAGCTACTTCAACGGCAAACTTCCAGTTTGAATGAAAGTAAACTAATTGTAGCCATATCAAGCTTATGTCTAAAACGTTTTTTTAGATCCAAAGCAGTTATCTATGGTTGGTTTGTTGCTTAGTAGTTGCAGCTTCAGTGGCTAGCCAGTACTAACTTGCTTACATAATTAATTTAACCAATAACTGCACAATTTAATAAATAAATTGCTCATTAGACATCAATTTTGAAACTTATATGTACAAAATATAACTACCACACGTGTTAAGTGACGTGATGAGAGGCAAGTCTGTTCCATTTAACGGTTTTCTTTGACCAAGGAAGGACAGTGTCCTCGTAAGCAATAAAGCTAGGCACCTACATATTGAGAAACACTTGTAGCATTAGACTTTATAATGTAAGGACTGCATATTTAATTTTGAACAATAAGATGTGATATTCCATATAAATATGAAATATCAACCTGATCTGTGAATGTTTAACCAGAAGAGTTTAGGGTTCTTTGTTTGTTCAGGGATCAGAAACACACTTCGTATTAACTCAGGCAGAGTCAAGTAAATAGTTCCAAAAAATGTATTTTTCTAAACTAATTATAATACATGACAAGCTATGAATTGTGATATGTGATGGAGTGTAAATGTGGTGATGGGATGTGAGTGCTGTGGTGTAAAGTAGATGTGTATCAGAAACTTTGTATTTGAAAGAGATTGTGACTTCTGGGTGTAAAATAATTTGTTGTCTGCTATAAACTAGAGAGTTGATCATTAATAAAACAGCATCAGACGCAATCGGTCATGTTTATGAACCCTGATGGAGACCCCTGTCAGATCTCAAATGTCAGGAAGTCGGATAGAACTCAAGGCACCGAAGTCCGTAGAATAACCGCAGTGCGACCAGTTCCGGTCTAGAAATGTCTCCTGGATCACAGCAGGCATGAAGGTTGTTGTGTCTAAGACGGATGGACTCTTAAGGTGTCGTATGGGTGTGTCAGCTTGCAGCGTGCAAACAGGTTTTGACTGTATGTCAAAGAGATGTTTCAAAAGAGGCTGTTTCCGAATTGGCCACTTCGGAGTGTCAGCTGGAAACTGAATAACTCGGGAAATGACTCTAGTTTTAAATCTAGAGTTTATCATTTCTGCAAATCAGAGTTTGACATGTTGTAGGCTTTACCAACGTCCCTCAGAAAACCACCCCTTCCAGATACAAGCTGTTCTAATGTGGATAAAGAATCTTTAAACTTTATATGAGATGGCGTTAACCCAAATTGGCATCTAATGAACATTGAATGTGTAGATTATGATTAACTTGTTAAATCAAACAGTACTGATCATAAAATATAAATGGATCATTGTCAGAACAATATTCATTTCAGCTTCACTGAATTAGGCACAGATTTTTCAAACATTTCATATAACATCTGGTTCATTCAACCATATGATTACCGTAAATCCTCTAATACAGGCCCGGGCCTGTATTTGACTCAAGCTCATCAAGCTCCAGGCCTTTATTGGAAGGAGGGCCAGTATTAGAGGCAGGCCTCTATTTCTATTTGAGCAAAATGAACTAATGGTTCGCTGGAGTTTTTGACAATTAAAAGTGCGCCCACATTTTCAAAGTTAAACATTTCTTTTAACAACGGTAGTTTCCGCTTCAGCCCTCTCCCCCCTCCCCCTGCGCAGCGGCCGCAAACTCACTGATGCGCCTGCAGCCTCTCGGAGTTCCTGCTGCTCTAAACATTAAAATAATTATTTCATTTTCTGTTCTTCACTTCTGATTACCTTCAATGGTGTCTGTTTGTTGCAACCACCAGGTACAAAAACTAACTTGTTTTTATTTGACTATTTTTCTGTCCTGTCTGTTTATTATCTTCCTGCATCTCCTCTCAATCCTAAAGAGAAACTGCTACCTGGGTTCATATATATTCACCTTATGAGTTACCTTTGAACTGCAGTTCTAAAAGATCTCCACAGCGAAACGCATCAGGCGCAAATAAAAGACAGAAAACATCAAAGGAAATGAACCGACATGAACGATCGCGTGTTAAATAATTTGGCAACACCTGATTGACTGTGGCCGTGCTCAGGAGGCAGATTAC